CCTTCTTTTCCTCAACCTCTTGCATGACCTTGTTGAAATTCTGCTCGTTGAAGTTGCTCTTCTCATCAACGATGAGACGAGCGCCGGTACCACCACAGGGGAAGAAGTAGTTCTGTAGGGGAGTAGGTCGGAAATCGGTATACACAACGTGACAAGCTTGATGATGGATCTTGGCAATCCATTCGGCGAATTGGAAAGCGTTGGGAATGGTGGCAGAGAGGAAGACGTATCGGACCTTGTCGGGAAGCATGATGATGGTCTCTTCCCAAACAACACCTCTTATCTTGTCTCTCATGTAATGAATTTCATCAAAGACTACCCAGGCGACTTCTCGCATAATCTCAGAACCGCGATACAACATAGATCGCAAAATCTCAGTCGTCATGACAAGGCAACTTGCCGTAGGATTGATAGTAACATCACCAGTCATGAGACCAACATCTCCAAAGATGGCCTCGAAATCTCGGTACTTTTGGTTACTTAGAGCCTTGATGGGACTTGTGTAGATGACTCTCTGGTTGCGCTTCAAGCATTGTGCAACAGCATACTCAGCCACTACAGTCTTTCCGGCAGAAGTGTGCGCGGAAACAAGAACGCTCTCCTCTCTCTCGATCGACGCCACGGAAAGGCTCTGGAAAGGATCAAGCTTGAAATTCCATGTTCGCGCGGGTTGCTCGGGGGCCTTGTGCTCGGAAAGGGGGACGTATTCGTAGTCAAGGTCCGGAGGCAAGGCAACCTGATGCTGAATGTTGTGCGACAGAACAAGCGATGAATCCTGCTCTGTGAAAGTAGCTGCGCCAGCAACTTCTCTCGACTCGGCCGTCTGGAAAGTATCTGTCATGACAGGACCAACGCCATCCTCTTTCTTCCTTCGCTTAGACTCCTGCTGACTGGCACTCTCCGAAGACTCTTCATCGTCGGAAGAATCTCCTTCGTCTTTTGAAGACTCGGTCTCGGCATCCATGTCAACGTCCTCAGTTTTCGCAGCATCGCCGTTTTCGCCATTCATCGCGTTTGCCTTTCTCTTCTTCGTGTCACCCTTGCGATTCGGCACGCTCTCATCTTCGCTCGCGCTCGGGGCGTCCACCTTGCCCTCAAACACATCAAACATCTCATCCATGCTGGGCGGTGTTTTACCGCGATCGGCTTCCGATCGCTAGCTGCAGGAAAAAGTGATCGAGATCGGGTGGCTGATTCAAGTCGCGGGCTGGTCCTTGAAAGAAAATTTTGGTATATGAAAATTGAAAAATGTTGCCTTTTCGTGTACGCAAGGCAGAAAAGAAAAAGCTCGTCGAAAAAATAGGCGTGAGCTTGTCGTCCTGTACAACACGAGCGAGAATCGATCGATCGTCCCAATTCGTGGTACACGGGCCTAGGCGATTAAAAAAAGTTGGTTGATGGGAAGTGGGTTAGTGACGGCAGAAAAAAATCCCCCTGGACAAGCTGAGGGCGGTGAATGTCTACAGCGACCGGGAATAGGTAGGTCAGGTCGACAGACACTAAGCCCAGATCTGTATTTTTAAGTAAATACGACTAGATTTACATCATCTCAGTGGCCGCATAGTATATTTTCTTCTAAATTAGCAGATCGTTCATACAATCTACGCAAGAAATACTCACAGTTAAAACTACCATTTTTACTTGCCGAGTCTGCTGCGGTTAGAACCGACGTCACCAAACTTACGATCCAATCACAGCCGGTTGGAGCTTCGATGTCAGCAAAGTACAAAAGTATCTCCACACGTGACCTACTAGCGTTTTGCTCTCCAAACCTCAGACCACCATCTCTGACCTCGGATGCTATCATCACTGACACATCCCCAAGCTTCCAACTCGCAATCTCCACTCCTCACCGTCAAGGTACGTCGACCCCCGAGCCATTGACCAGCTCGCCACTCCTCTCACAACCATCGCGAACCGAATTGACCCTTTACTCGCTCCCGCAGATGCTCTCCCGCGCCGCCGCCCGTACCACGACCTCTCTGGTCACCAAGCGAGGTTTCCAGACCACCCGCGCCCGCATGTCCTCGCCCTACCACTACCCCGAGGGCGCCTACAGCAACATCCCCTTCAACCCTCGAAGCAAGTGGTTCGGCCTCGGATACTGGACCTTCATGGCCACCGGCTTCTTCGCTCCCTTCGGCATTGCTGGTGCGTGGTTTCCGTCCCGATGTTCTCCGACTCACGACACTAACGAGCTGCGCAGTCTACCAGACCTACAAGCCCCAGTAAATTACTCGCCTACGGATTGCATTTGCTGTTGTGTTGAAAGACTGGGAAGCCTCGAGGTGGAATGTGGTGTAAATATCCGAAATAGACATCAGTCATTCTCGACTCTTGATTCGAAATTTCATTTGTTCGACTATCAGCTATATCGAACCATACGTGAATCAGCGATTATGACAATCGCTAGCTATGCAATTCCCAGCCAACCGGATCTTTGTATACAGAACTCTAGAGCCCCGGGGTATTATTCTAAGTTACGGTACATGGTAGTACAAAATCTACTGTTACATCATAATCTCGTTCCATCTTTTTTATATCTTCGATACGACGGGCCTTCCCATTGACCTGTCGACGACTTCATGTCTGCGCCGTCAAGAATGGTCTGAAGTATGGACTCGATGAACGGCTGTCGGTCCAGCGGAATGTCCCAGCGCTTCTCCATCTGATCATACACTTCAATAACGGTCTCATTTGAGCCGCACTTCTTGGCAGCTCGCAAAGCCCAGATGACCAACCATCTGTCGATGGTAAACCCTCTTATGCTTTCGTCTCGTGCTTGGTACATTGCCTTCAACACCCCTTCTAGCCGCTGCTCACTCCATTCAGAGCCAGTAAAGCCACCATGGGAGTAGAATCCTTTGAATAAGGACAGGAAGATCGTCGCGTGAATGGGAATTTTGAGGAACTTCATCTCATCAAGAAATTGTGCCACCTTGGCCAAGTCTCCAACTTTGACAGAGTAGTGCTCGACGAAAAGTTTGTACGTGTGAAGGTTTGGTGAGAGCTGCATTTGTTTCTGCAACGGCTGTTGAAGCTCGGGATGCTTCTTGCCAATTCTCGTAAACATCATCAACACCTTGGTAATGACCCGGCCCATCCCGTAGTCCCTATCCGGGATATTGGGCGCCATTTCGTGACCGGACTTCATCCTCTCATATGTCAGCTCAGCCGCCGACTCCTCACCACATCGCAACAGGCCCGATATCACACAATTGAGCACAACAGTGTCAATCATTTCACTGGCCTCAACCATGTCTTTGTAGGCAGCCCGAATCCCATTCGAGTCCATCTTGAGTCCGAAATAGTGTATCAGACTAACATGGTGGTATCGGTTGTACTGATAACCTCGGCTTTCCATCTCGTTGTAAATCATGTCCGCGAGGGCAAAATTTCCGGTTTTTGACGCAGCATCGAAAAGAATGTTGAACGTAACTTCGTTTCCTTTGGCATCGGGTGATCGCTCCATCTCTTGCCACAACCTCAAAGCAGTATCCATCTCGGTCGTCGTTACGCGAGCTGTATATTTCGTTGCAAAAGCCAAGGCATAGTTCCAATGCGTCCGTCGCAGCGTCAAGCCTGCGGTTTTGACGTCGGCGATCAGCGCAAAGTAACGCAGCATCGACTCTGAGTTTCGTTTAGGAGGTAAACCCATAATTTTCAACAACCTGTTCCGCCATGGCCAAGTGAGATACAACATCCTTGGTTCTGGAAGCTGAAGGTACAGGTCGTATATAGGTTCGAGGGTTGCTCGGTATGGGTGACGGAGCTTGTACGATATGGCTTTGCATAATTTTGCGATCAACTTTTTCGTCTCGTCATCGGCCTTGAAGGTCTCATCCTCCGTCGGATATTCAACATCTCTTTTGTTTTCCGACACTTGAACTTTCTGACCGTCGGCGGGGGCATAACCCCTTCGGTATGGATCCCGATAGTACTCCAAGTGCTCTTCAACGGTTCCCGCGTCTTCCTGTGGCACAAGAGCCATGAGGTGTCGAGGGTCGTGGCCATACTGAGTATGGAATCTCTGGCTTATCGGGGGTATCGGTGCGGCGGCAGCGGAAGCGGTGCTATAATTGTTCAGGACAGGTCGGGAGCGACGGCAAGGCAAGGCACGTCGAGCCTCGGTAGCGGGCGAAAAGGTCGAGAGAAGCCATAACGAGCTCTTGGAACAAGAGGACGGGGATCTCGAGTTCAATCTTCTTCTCTGTGTCTCTTTACCAGCCTCTCTCACAGTGCAGAGACTCCTCCTTGTGGTAGTAACCCCAAAACTGGCCGACGCTCGGTTCGAAAGCACCGCACAGAGGGAGCCGTCTATTCGACTAGAGACTTTCATGAGCTCCTCCTCATGATGCTGCGACTTCTGGTTTGTAGCCGGAGCGATATTTTGTCTCGAACTGTAGATTTAGACAAGGGAAATGGCGCTGAGAAAGAAATCAGATCGGCAATCTCTCTCAGGAAGAGCTAATGCCAGCGGAGGTTGAGACGGGAGGCTTGTTCTTGTAAGTGGGACCTTTTTCGAGATGGTTTTTTGCTGCACTGTCATTCGCGCCGAGCTATGGGGAGATACCTATCCCAGAGGGAGGGTGAAAATAAAAGCCGCGCTGTATCATTTAAGACGTAAAGAGATAAAGCAAGGTAGGTAAGAGATTTCTTGGATGTACAAAACAAACAATGAACTTTAGATAGTATGATGTCTTAGTTTATTTTCTATTAACATAAATAATGTTATGTATTCCATCTGAAAAGTAATTTGTACCTGTATATTTGGTTCTACTGGATTCAATGTCTGACCTTTATTGTCAACATCCCACCCCGGCGTTAAGATTTACCGATGCATCTCCAAAATTTCCACTCACCACCACGACATTGCCGGCTCAAGCCTGGTCCCGCGTGGCATCACTCCCAATCAGAGCGTCAATTGATACTGTAAGACCGCCTCTATTTATATCGCCATACTCAATTGAGGCTCTACTGACACCGCCGCAGAATAGACCATGGGAGGCAGACAGATCCGACCCGCAAGGGTCCTACAAACAGTCACGGAAGAGCTCAACCACAACGTCCTCGGCGACAAATCCATCCCTACGCCGCCATGGTATAACATCATGCAATCCGTCCCTCCGGCCGAGACACTCGTTCGAAACGTCACCCCCCGTCTAAGATCGCCGAACCTACAAGCTAGAAAGCCAAAGAACCTCTATCGGCCTCAAGGGATATGGTATCGTGAGGATAGGCTGCGATCAACGTTCTATCGAGATCATCCTTGGGAGTTGGCGAGACCTCGGGTTATTCTTGAGTCAGACGGAAAGGATTACCAGTACTGCGATTGGAGCAAGGGCTTGAGACAGCCTAATATTCCTTTATCGGGTGAATGGCAAGTTTCTCTGGATCGGTAGTCTGATGGGATCAAGCTAACATTCTGTAGTGTTGTTCAACGACAATTATGGTTGATGGAGAAAGAGAAGCTGTCAGAGAAAAAGGCATACGATATCACACGCCGCGAATTCTACCGTCTACGCCAAGAGGAAGAGATCGAGAAGCGAGTGGCCCTTGAGGAGGCCAAGCACGTAGGCGCTTACTTTGGCAAGTCCCGCATTGATGTTTCGCACCAGCTCGAGGACCGAGAGTTTGAGAACTGGAAGATCTGGGCTGGAAAGGAGACGGAGCGACAAGAGGCGAGTCGCAACTCGGAGATCGAGGACTTTGGTCTCGAGGAGGTGGAGGAGGACATCGCAGATGATGCAGAGCCAGAGGAAAAGGCCGAGGCTGTCGAGGGCAAGAAATCACCTTGATAGCATTATATCAGGGAGGGCGGATGATACCCGTCATGTACACAAACCATGTAACCTTTATTGTCTATGTATCAAAAAGCAGAAACGCACGCATATTCCAAGAGATTCTCGGATTGGGATTTCAACCCATCATCTTATCATCTGTCGATGAAACATCCGGTCGTCTAGCGTTGAAGACCATCTCACCACAGTTTCTAAGTCCATACTTTTCAGCCACTTCTTGGTGCTGCACCAAAACGTCCGCGATGCCAGTGTGGTAGAAGAGTTTGCCCGTGAGGCTCAAGGTGCTGATCCGTGCCCAAGACTCGATGTAGATGAAGTGCATCGAATTCTCGGGTATCCTGCCCAGGAGCTTGAGAATGTGCACTGCCAGGCCGACAAAGAAGCCAGTCGCGGGCCCGTTGGAGTAGATACAGGTAGGGTATGCGAGCTCAGCACCATCAATCTTGGGTGGCGGAGTCAATAGAGCCGGGAAGATGCTGACCAGGCTGAGAAAGGCCGTGTAAGGGGTAGTCAGGAGTGATTGGTGAACACGGCGCGCACGAGTGACGGTGAAAACGTCGTATGCCCCTGGGTTGGTCCCCTCAGCAGCACACAGTGCCTTCAGGTCTGCTTCGTAATCTTCAAGATGATCCTCCGACATGGTATCACCGGAAGAGATCAAGTATCGTCGGTGGAAACCATCAAAGTTGCAGAAGCCATCATCCATCATCTAGGGAACATGAGCTGGGTTCAGACCGTCTTGAGACAGGTTAGTACTTAACATTAACATTTCTCGAGTGTGGCCACCAGAGCCAAGCACAAACGCGCAGTAACCAAATGGGGTGCGACGTTGGTTAACAGAAGACAGTTCTCTGCTCACTGTTCTGCGGCGACGTCTGACAAGTCTGATATGAAGAGCCTTGGTTTTGTCAGTATCGGAGTGTGAGATTTGGTTTCGGTTGTGAGATTCGGCTTACAGAGAACACAACAAGAAGAGTGACCACGTAGATGGCCATGGCGGAGAGAAAGGCCACGAGCGGTCGGGGCGAGGCAAGGGCGCCTATCGCAAGCCCTACGCCTGCGGCGGCGATTATCATCACCATGTTTGCGTTGAGAACTCTCGATGGTAGGTTGATGCCCTCGTACTCGTGTTGTGAAGTGAGTGAGGTTGAAGTAGAACTTGACAGGTGGACCTACTATCTTCGCGCTCTAAGCAAACCACTTGATGATCGGATTCAGGAGCCAAAACAAGATGGATCAAAAGGCGAAAGAATTATATCCACCTTGAGTGGAGGTAATGATTCAATGAAGGCTTTGTGTTGTTTTTAAGTCTTTCACACGAGTATTCATCTGCACCTCTCGACGTGACGAAGTTGAAAGTGGAGTCTGGCACTGGCAGCAGAGACCAAGTATTCATTTCGACATCCAAGCTCATAACACTGAGGTGCGTCTTCTTCGACCTTGCATACGAACACGCCAAACACAATTTACCATGTTGAATCATATGCAGAAAATGGATATTCTCTTTCAACTTCACAATGAAATTTATGACCGTCAGTGCTATAAAGACCATGACTCAATGGAGTTGCTCAACTGACTTACACCATGGAATTGAACTACCCTGGATCAACCATTCATGTTTCGATCTCATGTACAAGCCAGTGTAATTCCAGAGCACATCTTTACCAGATTATCTGATACCCGCTGCTTTAAAAAAAGAAAAAGTAGAAAAAAAACTCCCGCTTAAGAACCCTTGAGTCCAGATGTGCACCTCACATTACAATGTTCTCTTGAAAACAAGCTTCATCTAGCAAAGCAAGCAAGCGTCTAGTCGTCACTTGACAGTTGAACTACAACCCAGCACTCAAACACTTCAGAAGAAACGACGTTTCTTCTTGGGGATAACTTCCTCCTCAGGCACTTGCCCTCCAACAAGTCTTCTCATCGCCTCTCTTCCAGAGTCATCGATGACCTCCTTCATCCCTTCACCAGTCGCAGCCGAGCATTCGATGTATTTGTGTGCACCAATCCGAGTGGCCTGCCAGTTTGCCTAAAAAAAGGTCAGGACATAATTCACGGTATTGAATGGAGTTTGGAAGTCTACCTCTGATGAGCAGATGCAGCAAGTCGGGTACGCCAACAGTCCAGAAGACGAGAACGCAGAACCAGTCTGATGATCTTCCAAAAAGCACTGGTCGCGAAGATCCTTCTTTAAACCGACGAGGTACAGCAATGGCGCAAAACTCGCAGATTTGGTGAAGCCTTGGCTCGAAGCGTGATGCCACTACTCAGTTAGTTTGGCTTCATTAACAGTGGAATGCTAAGCTTACCCATTGGATGATTGTGTACATGGATATCTTATCCGAGATGTCGAAGCAGAGAAACACGGCGTCCCATTCGATGTAGGTCAACTTTTCGACGACGTTCAGGTCTGGTACGCCAGAGGTGTCCTATAGCTCCATGCGCACAGGCTGGTTGTGGTAGATTCGTTCGTTGACGTAGGTCTCAAACAGAGGACGAGAAAAGGCATTTGACTGTGAAACGTCAGCATGAACTCACATGCTTGGATGTCAGACTCACATCAGGAAAGTATCCATAACGGGATCGACTGTCCAATGTTAGCACATACGTCGACACAAGCTCTGCGGAACTCACAATAGCAAAGACGTCTGCCCAGCGGCTTTGCTCCCCACAAACAAAAAGTTCAAACGGACAGGATCCCTCGGAATCTCCTCCGGCTCCTTTCTTTTCCTCTTGCGAGTAAGCAAACTCAGCAAACTCCTTCGCTTCCCCTCCACACGTCGTTGCATCATGCTCGAAGCAGGTCGAGTAGAAGAAGGTGTAGAACTACGTCCGAACATAGGCGTAGCAGCCCGGAAGAAGCCCAGGCGCGTAGAAGGTCTAGCCTCAGGAGGAGAAACATCACGAAATGTCTGCCGAGGTATGGTTAGTATTGCAGGGAGAAGCTTGTCAGGGGGGATGTACGAGGCGTGTAGGGGGACGTTCGTCGAAGTGGTCTCCTTCGAAGGGATCTTCGCGATCCATGCGGCTTGGAACGCGTTGGCGCCATGAGTCGATGCGCTCTTCGGGCATCATGTTGAGGATTGACATTGGAATGGAGTTGCTACAGTTTGGTTGTCAAAAAGGGCAGAGTTGCAACGCTTGGAAAAGGTGACTGTGAAGGTGAAGAGAAAGGAGGGAAAGAAAGAGGCTGAATGAGTAAATGAAGAAGTGCGTTGATAACAAGTGAATTATACCGATTACACGTGGGATGAAAGTGGTGATGCATGCAGCCTTAGTTTGCACTGGCAGACACCGTCAACGCTTCACTCCAAACCACGCCATATCACACACCATAATCTCAGCCGAACCAGTAAATAATTTACCTTATAAATCATTACTTCAGTGCAGCACCTCAACATCTACTCAAAAAACTCTGCCGCATTAGCAATATAAGCCCTCCTCAACCTCTCCTTATCAACCCCCAACAGATCCCCCGGAAACCACTCCTCCAACCGTCCCCCTGGCCTCCCAACACCCTCTCCCAACTTCTCCCCCTCCTTACCAAGCACCATGACCGCCAACGCCGTCCCACAAAGCCAAGCATACACCATCCCCTCGCCACAGAACCCAGCAGCCATCCACTCCCCTGGTCCTTTCGACCCAGGGGCTCGTCCAACAAGAGGCATCAAATCACCCGTGAAGCCTATAATGCCAGTCCAGGCTTTTATGAGACTGCTTCCGGAGCCCCAGTTTGGCTCGAAGACGGAGGGCATCACGCCGCGGATGTGCATTAGGGGAAGGGCATGGTTTTTGCTATCGTCCCAGATTCCGACCTGATCGAGACCGTCTTCCTTGCTGCGGAAGAAACCTCCTCCTATCATTAGATCACCTGGTGTACCGTCTGGTCGATCTGGACGTTGGGTTATGTAGTCGAAGCCTGGGCTGTAGATGACAGACCATGAGCGGTTTCCTTGGGTTGGAGGGAATGAAGATCCTGGTCGTTGAGCGCTCATGTGGGCGATGGCACCGACGACACAGCCTCTGACGGGAGGGAGGAGTTGTCCGGCATGAGCATTCGTTGTGTGAATGACATGCTTCGCCTTGATGACTCCGCGAGGTGTCGTTACTGTATAGGTTCCATCTGGGTTATGAGATACCTTCTCAACGGGTGTATGGGTATTGATACTCAACCCCGAGAACCGCTCGAGTAAATCGTTCCACACACTCGTGACAAGACGATATGGCCAGAGTGCACCAGCCGTGTAAGTCACAGCTCCCACAACAAGTTCATTCAAACCAAACTATACCCGTTAGTTCCTCACTCATAACCTTCATCTGCATAGAACTCACCTCCTTTCTCGCCTCCTCCGCCTCCCAAACCCGATGCTTCTCCTCAGGCATCCACGCCTTAACATCCTCAACCTGCTTCTTCGCCTTCTCAAAATCCTCCCTCTCGACAAAGACATCCACCGTCTCAACCTCTCTGACCTCAGCAACCTCGATCCCCTTCCCCAGTTGCTTCATCATCTCCAAGTGCCTTCTCTTAAACCTCACTATCCGCCTCGCATTCTCCGGCCCCAATTTTGACTTGAACATGGCGAATTCATCATATGGCGCACTTTTAATATGTCCACCATTTCTACCCGTTGCACCGCTGCATAGCTGTCTTGATTCACAGACTACAACTCTTATACTGGAGCTGGACAGCTCTAGCAGAAATTTTGTTACTGCTGCGCCTGTGATGCCGCTGCCGATGACGACGATGTCTACCTCTGAGGGAAGCTTGTCATCTTGGATGTCGCATAGTGCTGGGAATGGCGGGTCGTCGAGCCAGTATGACTTTGTGGGCTCTGGCACGGGAAATCCTGGCTCTGAGGACGCGCGTTCGAGAAGAGATGAGAATTGCTTGTGAAGCGTCAGAACAGTCTTCAGACCAGCTGATATGGCCGATGCCGTTGATTTCAGCGTCGATATAATGGAACCCATGTTTGCTGGTGAGATTTAGGGTCAGATGAATATGCTGAATTACTATGGAGAGAATATATAACTGACCCAGGAACAGTCGGCATGTATAGTAGCATTTTACGATGCATCCAACCACAAATGGTAGGTTGGACAGGGTTGTTGTTAGCTAACAGTTATCTCGCAGGAACCAGTTACGACGCTAACCTAGGTAGCTTCACAGATATCGTGCTCACTCTAGGTTCTGTCTGCCGGAATAAGCTCTCAGCCACAAGTCTCAACTGCAAATAACACATCCGGCTCACAACTTAGACATTATACCACGATGTCTGACCAATTGCTACAGCTCAAGGCTGATAAGAGGAAAACCTAGATCATGACTCTTTGGCCGGCATTGGAGGCGTATAAGATCGTGCTCGCCCAAATACGAGACCAAACCATCAGACCTCAGTATACGGAGTATGAACCAACGACCTTTTAGCTTGCATTTTCTCTAACGTCTAAGAGCTACCTTGCCGAAACCACCAGGATATGCCCGTTTCACTGCCGTCAAGGTACAAGCAGATCGCCAAACAAAAAAACACCATCATCATTCTGGTTTTCGTTTCCCCATCCCCAACACCAACGAAACTACACGTCAAGAAATTCAAAAACAAGCACTTCTCGCAGCGAAGCCAGAGCCGCTGCCAATCCTTTCCTCCTCGACCCATCACTCACTTCCAGCCCAAGTGAAACAAAGAGTCGACAATAAAAACGGGCTTTTCAAACTCCAGCTCCGGCCCCCCCTTTCCTGTTTGCTGTTGCGCCATAACCGATGCAGGGTATGTTTTAAGTTGAATTCAACATGTCATAAGACACGAGTCCTGTTCCTTCTACCCTTTGGGTTTTGTTCCAGTTCCATACCGCCGTGGTGATAATTCCTGTGAACTCCAGGGTCCCTCCGTGGGAGAGAAGTTGGCCATGAAAGAGAAAAGTGCCAAGAAAAACAAGCCAAACTCCAGCGAAAGCAAAAATCCATTTGTAAAACCGTCCAAATTGAAATGAAGTAATGGGTATCAGACACTTCGTCTCAAACGTACACCACCGTCCTTATCTAAGGTCATCTAAAGACTGACCATCCCGTTCTCGGCATCAAGAT